ACGGCAATATGCGTACTTCAAAAGAAATAATAAATTTTTACATTTATTCATGTATAAATATTTCATTCAAAACCCATGACTATGACTGTATCCTGTAAGAAATATGTATAGGCAATTACAAAGTATGAGAGTGGATATTGTTAGGAGTTTTAAAACTGTGTATGAATGATAACTCTAGTCAATTCTACAAAATCTCTTTTCACATTTTAAATGTAAATGTAAATGAATTTTACTAAATTGTGTTCATTGTTAACCTTCTATGGAACAATAAAGTTAATGTTCAGTAAAATGAAAAATGATTTTGAAAATTTTAAAAATTAGGGATTAATTTGATTTGTACAACGAAAAAGGTATGACACTAATCCCGTTGGTTTGTTGAGTGCAGAGAATGTCATATGTCTGTGTGCAGTTAGTTTATCCTTGTAGAATCTTCTGGGATCAAGATAAATCAAACGGTTTGTGCCAATCGTAAGAAATGAACCTAAAAGATTGTAATACTCTTTCCCTTTTTCCGATAAAAAGAACACACGTAAAGGTGGCAAATGATAGTAGAGAACACATTATGCGATTCTTTCCACTTTTTCCTTCTTGCCTACACAGGACGAAGGATCTTGTAAGATCATATCATTCTCGAAGAGAATGTCACATTGTCTGTGTGCACTGTGTTATGTCAAGATGACGTAAGGCGATGATATGTTTATTAGAGATATTCATAGTCTATGCAAGAATGCATAAAAAAAAGATATAAACTAAGAAAACATCGAAGATGGGAACTTTTTCACCTTACAATATTTCGCGTAGTTTAAGTGTTCCTGAAATTCAATTTTTTCTTGTTTATGTTTAATTAGTAAATGCTTGTGGTTGTTGTTGGTTTGTATTTGCATTAATGGTGGGTGCTATTGAATGCTGCTGTTGATGTATGCGCCCATCAGTATTTGATATTCTATCGATTAATCTCTTGTACAAGATTAATCGTTTGATTTTTTTTCTAAATATAGATGATGAGACATAATAAACATAGAAACTAGATGAATAATTTAAATGGAATAATAAACGTACAATTTGTGATGCTAAATTTTCCCATGCTTGTCTGAGAGACTCTTTCAGTACTGTAGATGTTATATTTGCATACAATCTCTGAATCGCAGAGGGTACAGATGATAGAATGCATATAAGAATTTGTAATAATAACATCGACGTTAATTGCTCATCCATATGCTGTTTGAAAGTTGGTCGCTGTTGATGCTGTTGTAAAGGTACAATACGATGTCGTAGTGTTTGTAAATTTTTCACTGTTAGTAAACCAAATATAATCATTAACATCACGGGAAGAAATCCGTAAAATAATAAATTCAGCACATATATACCGTAGATAATATAGCCTGGTGATTGTGGTGAACAAACATTATTCTGTATTTGGTATATGATTGGAACGGGTAATGACGTTAACAACCAAAACAGAACAATAATAATGATATTGCATTTTGCTACTGATATCTTACTGAACTCACGTTTTCTAGCATTACGAGAAGTGGAACAATATCTGTCGATAGATGCAATCACTAAACATGTAAGCGACGTTAAGCTTGCACATTGTCCGATATAAGTTCTTAATTTACACCAAATAAGATTTGTAGATGATGGATCCATTTTCAACCCATCAGCAAAAATACGTGTCAGTAATATGAAATTTAACTGTATGAAGTCAGCAAAAACTGCTGCTAGTAGATAAATAGAACATGGACTTGTCCTCAATGATTTTTGTACGAATATCAGTATGACCAATACACTACCTAATGTACCGAATATGTAGAGAAATGAACCAAAATAGATATTTAATTGCTGAGCGACTGATGTTAATAAAACTACAGATGACATAATTATGTATTTGAAAAACGAATAAGTAGATAGAAACTGGTTTGTAGGTTTCTGGAAAGGTAATTCCTACTTTTATTACTGCAACTGATACTACTAGAGATATATTCTGTGTAATTAATACGATGACAATAATCATGCAAGCACGTAACTAGTATGTCAGAGCAGGAGGTGATCGTGCCAAAATGCGATTTCTGTTTTAATTAACGTAATAACAGTAATTTTTGACCATTTTAAAAGACAATGAAGATTGGGAACTGGATACCACCACCCCTCGTTGCAGAAGAGTCATTGTTTTCTGAAGAAGAGAAGCGCTTTTTGGCACGATTACCCCCTGCTCTGACATACTAGCTACGCGCATGCATGGTAAATGTCATTACTTAAACAAAATATATTGATAACAGTAGCAATTATAATAATAGCAGCAGGAATTGCCTTTTCTAGAAATCTAGAAACCAGTTTGCATAGATGCATTCACTTTTCAAGTGCAACATCATCTCATCTGTAATTGTATTAACCTCAATCACTCAACAATTAAATATATATCTTGGTTCATTTTTCTGCACTGTAAGGTTGGAAATTATTTATGGAAAATGCTCGGCGAATTCCAATTTTTTTGGCACTTGAAAAGTGAATGCATCTATGCAAACTGGTTTCTAGATTTCTAGAAAAGGCAATTCCT